AAATTTGGTGAATAGAACCCAGGGAGATATGGATGAACAGCCCTGAAGTGAGAACAAAGTGATAAAGAGAAGCTGACAAGAAATCCCACCTTCACGAAGCTATTTTGGGCATCTTCCTTTATTAAATGACTGCTTGTAGGTCAGTGCTCTTACTACTGGCGGTGGGCATTCGTGGTGACCTGCACATTCCTCTTGCCTAATGCAAATCCAAAACAGGACGAAAATCTTCATGCCCAGTAGAATTACCAAGACAGATAAGTGATCCTACAGTCAAGTCTCTCCCCATTTACATGGAATTTTGGTGACTAGTGCAGTTAATTCGCGGGTGCTTCTCTTTACAGCACCGACTACGTTAAGGTGACCGGTGCGAGAGATTGACAAAGGAGACCACCGATGACGCCACTCAAAAGAAGCAAGGCAGGCGATATATGCTTCACCTATTTGTTTAACTCTTCGTATTGGTGTCACTGCTACTTAAGGCTTGGCCTTTGTGCTTCCTCTGGGCGGCATGGCCCTTGGACCATGTCAGTGGCGCCCCCAGCCAATCTCTACGTCGAAACTATGACTTCTATCATCTTCAATAAAGACTCGGAGCACTACAGGTGCTAATATTTTCTATACCTAAATTTCCTTTCATCTATTGTGTTGCCCGTTTATTGAGTCGTTTTTAAATTCGTATCTAGTGAATACAGTAAGTTAAATTTCGCATTAATGAATGCAAAGCAGCAATACCAGTAAAAACCTACCACTTTATTGGTTTAGCATCTGTGTGTGAGAAGACTACTTCCCCTAGGATCTACGTGGTAGTGCTAAAAACTACCCCCATCATGACCTAGTGACCAGAGTAGGCACATTTTAGTGGACCTTATAGTTACCCTCAAATAATATTTAAAGGAGTAGCTTACGACTAATTTAAATATTTCGTTCAATGGGTAAACTACGTCCGATACATCGTTCAATGTCTACTCACCTCCAGGGAATCAGCATTTAACCACTCGCAGTATTTTGATATGAAATTTTTAGAATCGTAGTTAGGTGGTGTGCCAATTGTTGCAAGGAGCCCTATTATATCCACTTCTAAGGCCGCATTATTTCCCCACCTTGTCTCGTCCACCATAGAACACAAAGTCACTTTTAATGCCAACGACTTGTATATAGTCATGCAATGCATCCCCTATCTAAACTAAGAGATTGTTTAGGCGGTTTTTTTAATCCACTTATAGACATAACTTTTCACATTGCTGCGTCAAAGTCAATCAAGAAAGGATCGCTTTGGGAGAAGTATGGATAACATTAAATAAAATTATTATCACTTTGGTACAGTTAAGTTCAGGTTTCTAGGTGGGAATAGAAATAGCAAATAATATTTTTGTTGAGGGTTTTGTTATTTCGTGGAAATTACCAAAATTGTGTGCAGTGGTGTGCTTGAGGTATTTCATCGGGAATGGAACTCACACCATCATCCCTCGGCACGCAACGGGATGGACACCCAAAGTGTGTGGACAGTCAAACGTGGTCCTCAGTCAGGAGGTAGGTGATGAAAGCCGGCCGAAAACAAAAAAAAAAAAAAATAAGAAAAAATTTAAGGGCAAGTTGTGCAGTTTCATGACAAAGAAGAGAAGTGAAGGTCACATGCAGACTGCTGCAATCACAGTAAACTCATTAAGAATCGAGGCTTATTTTGGTCCACTCTCTTAATTTGGTTTTTAATGGAAGAAGACCTAAAGGCAAGGTGGGGTGGGGATTGAGCAAGTCGTATCACAAATGCCATTGACTCTGTTGCCAGCACGAGCGAAGAAGTGATGAGAGAGTATTTAGTGAATGTGAGCTTCTTGGCGTCGTTTATCACCTGCCCCTGGAGATGCGTCAGTGCCGGTAACCGTTGGTGTACCGGATTGATGCGTCGAAATTAGTTTCGACAATTGTACCATTTGAGGGGGGTTAGGTAGAGCAAAAGTCGTCGGCATTTCTGTTGCTGTGCTTTGGCATTGAGTTCCTGTAAGGTAACTTTTCAGTGTAGTTGTGCCATACTGAGACAACTGTGGTGGGCTTATTCGACCGGAAACTGCAATACTGGATTCACCCAAATGAGAGTGCGACTCAGGAAGAGTAGAATGTTGATGTGGAAGTCTTTGTGCCATGGCATGGCTTACAGAAACTGAGGAGGTGTGTGCAAAAGTCACCGTGTTTTGGCCAGGTTGATATTCACCGTTTTTACAGCGCGTATTGCTGGAGCGTGTAGCAATGCCCCGGTTGCCTTGAGCCCTTGGAGTGCGGCGTCGAAGCCATTCGTGGCGAAATGCTTCTCTGGGGGTTAGCCGATCCTCAGGCATCCATTGGAGGCACTGAGAAAGAAAATCTAAGAAGGCAGCATCCTCACGACCTTTGAGAGCCGATTTGAGGGATTTGGAACCCGGAATGTCTCGAAGTTTTCCTCGTTTAGTCTTACGTGGCCGAAGGATTACATTATTGTCCTCGTCAACCTCCATGCAGTACCGCGGACAACCATAGGTGATAGAGAAGAAATGCTTCATCCGACGACTCTGTTCGAGCAGTTTTTCTGGAGGCATTCCAAGCACTTCGAGAATGCAGGCAAGCTGATCACCTTCATCTTCACCGGGAAAAAGTGGAGAACCTCAAGAGATCAAATGTGCTCTTTAACCACTGGATTAGAGATGGTGAATGAAGAACTGGATTATAGCAAAGTGAGTAAATGTACATCACTGAATACCTAGCTGAGCAACTTGTCAAAGAAACCGTCTGGATAAGTGTCACTGCCTAGTCGATCATAAAATAAAGCAAGGGGAGTGCATGGTAAAATATGATGACCTACCAGTTAATAGCTCCGCAAGAATGCATCCGAAGCTCCAAATATCAATAGACGAGTTGTACTTGCAGCCAAGAATTACCTCAGGTGCACGATAAAATCGGGACTGAATGTAGGTATAAATGTTTTGATCCTCGAAACAGCTGGAACCAAAATCAATCACTTTAATGCCACTTCGACCCTGTTGCTTGAGAAGAATATTCTCGGGTTTCAAATCACAATGAATGATTTTATTTCGATGCAGCATGTCCAGGCAAACGAGGATGGAGTGGGCAAATTTCCGAACTAAGGGAAGGGGAAAGCCTTTGAATTCGTTCCTCTTAATCAACTCGTAGAGGTTAATGTTGAGCAACTCAAAGGTCATGCAAACGTGCTCGCGAAAGGTAAAGTGCTCTAGCAAATGTACAATGTTGCGACTGTTGTCCACATCCTGCTCCCGAAGCAATTCCAAAATGCGAATCTCCTCAGCCGCCTGTTTAGTGAAGCGCCGTTCATTACGCACCATTTTAAGACCAACAAACGTATTAGTTTTGTGATCGAATGCCTTCACCACTTGTCCAAAACTTCCCTTTCCAATAATTTTTAATACCTCGTATCGATATGCAATGTGATCATGAGCGGTGTGAAGGTAAGAACCATGATCATCGTCAAAGCCAAAGTTTGGACCACTGGCACATACCATTTGTCTTTTTTTGGCATTGTGCCCGATAAAGTAGACATGAGGATATTTGAGAATCTCAGTCATTTCGTAAGGTGTAAGTTTGGCTTTAAATTGTCGGATAGCCATTTGGGGTGTAATTCCCGAGGACGACAGACTTACTGACACTTGTCCATTCCACAAAGTTGTGCCTTTAACTTGAAGGTTGCAAAGAGGATGATTTGAACTTGGACGAATGTCAGCTGGATTGTTAATTTCAGTATCAACCTGTCTCCATGAACGACTTGAAATCTTTTGGCTCAGCATTGTTTCTGAAGAACCGCATCCGCCTTTGCTAAAGGACATCAGAGACATTTGCTTTTGATTGACTAATTGGACAGCTGAACCTCCATTAGCACAGTTCGCGTTGACAAAGTTAACGGATTGCTCGTTTTTCATAGCCTTTTGATTGTGACTAACATGCATTCGAGAATGCGGACATCTCTGATTAAGTAGTTGGGTTAAAGACGAGATAGTACATGGAGCCGGAGTTTGATTTTCATTTATCTTTACTGAACCCATTGACACTATTCCTTCTATGAATTTGAAAAAGAGGCCAAATTACTTGCAGAATAGAGAAGAGAGAGAAATCGAAATAATATTCTTTACTTGCTTGATAAATATAACTCCTGTAATTGAGACCGATGAGTCGATCGGGAAACTCCAAGAAAATCAATTCATTGAATTTAACACGGAAATTCAATAACGGTAGTGAAATCCTGTCCTCTGGATTTCCTACTAATTATGTGCAATTTTCATAGAGCAGCTAGCTAAAATGCAATAATTTCTAATGAGTAAATAATAAAGTTGAACCATAGAACTGAATGCGCACGTTAAACGGAATGAGTGAATTAAGTGTGAAAAGATTTGGAGATTTTGCCTCAAAATTTTAACCTAAAGTTCATTTGTGGTCAGAATAAAAAGTCAAAACTAATTCATTTACTGCTGTAAGACTCCGGTAGACTGCATAATTGTTAGACGTTAACAATCTGAACCAGGGCACTTTTTCCTAAAAGATAAGCCCTAAACTCAGACAAAATTCGGCAGACAATTTAGGACTAATAAGACAGTTTTAATTAAATTAAGTAGGATTGCAAAATATTACAAAATATAAAACATGTATTTGCAAGCAACAATTACTCAGGTCCACAATAAAGCATATTTTGTTCAGAATGCTTGAAACCGCTGAAAAGGGCAGATTAATAAAAAGTAATTAAGATACTTGAAACAAAACACCTATTTTTTTTCAAAAAGAGGTCATGTAAACCTGTTCTGAAGAGATATTATAGTAAGTTGTTCATTTTAAACACTCCGAAACATCTCAGGCGATTGGGTTGACATTTGGGTGTCGCTTCCTGCCGTTTTTGTTGTAAAACCACATTACGATTGCCGCATTATTTTTTTAGGTAACAGGATATATATTTCAAGATGAATGAATACATAACGAGGTCACTCCTTGAAAAATAACATAACAGCAAGTAATTTTAGTCCTTAATTGTTTGCAGTGTGAGACAATGATAAAAGCTCAGAATTATTCAGACAATTGAAAATCGGTAGTGATAATCTATTGTCGGATGGTGGAAATTCATGGGAAATCATCTCACATTGAGTGACATGAACACTATGCGGAGGATCGATTTGGGCGCTTGGCGAGTTAGCAACAGAAGCGTTTCCAATAAGGTCAGGACTGAAATAAACAACACCTGCATCAATATTTCTTTTTTAGAGAGGCAATATTTACATCTGTAGCAGTCAACGTTATCGCGAAAAAAAATTTAGTGGTTTGTTTGCTCAGTAAAGTGATGGTATAGTAAAGGAATGTTGGTTGACATATTAGTAAACGATTATAAGATTAAATTTGTCTGGAATGCCAAGTAACACCTTTTTCCTTAGTAGTAATGAAATTTTAATCATTTTGTACTCGCATTTAAACAGCGAGTGTTCTCATATGCCTCATTACACAAACCTGCCAAAGTATAGAATTATCTGAATTATCGAGGTCACACAACTATGAACATCCTTAGAGTCTTGAGCCTTTGGTAAAGTCGCAAAAGGCCACGATAACATAAAACGTATGATATTAGCAAGCCGATTGTCTGATATGCTACCGACTTTGCCTGAAATCCATACTGACTAGCGTAATTTCTGTGACAGATTCTGCGTTTGTCACTTTCCCTTTGGCCTTTATTCTCTTGGAACATGTAGATTGACTGTGTAGGAGAATTCTTCGTCAATAATATTATGAATAGGGTACAGTAGTCAGGGACACGCAAGTTTGAAGGATACTGCTTTCTCGGGATTCGTGTCCACTGACCTTTTCCCACCTAAAAGGTGCATTCAGGCCTTGTTGATGCGAAATGCTGACTTGGATACCCATAAGTGGGGATCGTGCTTTGATGAAATTCAACGACAACTTCTGGTATTGCCGAGTTTGAGGAAAATGTATTTCGACCATTCACTGATAGATTTTTTAACCATTAATAAAATGGGTCCTTGGTACTCCCCTTTTAAGCGGTCTCCGTACATGCCATTACCGGTAGTCTCCTTCCTTCTATTAGTGGGTAGAATTCATCTTCGTATCGGGGGGGTGGTATCCCTTTGTAGGGTGGGTAGTTTTGCTGTGATGAATAGGAATCGGTTGAGTACGAGTTGTGTATTGCAGATGATGTGGATTTTTGGCGGGATAACTTTCATCATTTGGATTGCATCCTTACTCCACGGATGATGGAACTCGCGGTGTACTTCAGGTGGCTGAATCAGCCTGTATAATTGTATTACGTCCCCTTCCCAATGGACGTTAGTCTAGCTGTTTTTGCTGTAATATTTCTCCTGCTTGATATATTGCACAGTCGTGTTTGTTCAAATGCGATGTTGAAAATTTGTCTTATCCCTCCTATCAGTCGCAGAACGGGCCTTGAGGCATTGCTAGTTGCTACTTTCATGTTTGGTAAGGGAATAGCAGAAAGTGCTCTCATTTTACGACCTGTGAACATCTTCAAAGGTAATTTGTCAGTCGGTGTATGAAATGTAGCCCCATAAGCGGAGAGGACCCTTCCTAGGCTCAATTTCCGCAACTGGTCCTCAATACAAGGCACCTGCATTGTCATAATTATTTCCTTTCCCATACCGTTGTGTGTAATCGTATTGCTGCAGTTCCTCGTACCAGCGTGCGGTCTATTTCCATTCGTTTTAACCAGGTGAGCGACTGATCCGTTCAGTATCTACTCATGATGATGACAGTGAACAGCCCATGTTGCTTTGCACTGTTTTGTCCCACTTTTTGTAGAGTTTAGTACCCGCGTCGATAATGGGGCGTTCCCTTTCTTCTTTGTCCCCTTGTGAAATCACAATGCTTAAGACTATACCGCTAGCGTCGCTATACAGAACGAATGGTGGCTGGAATGCTTGATTTGAAGATTGGTAATGCTAGAATCAGAGCGTAGCTGAGTATTCGCTTCAGTTTTTTGGACCCTTTATCATTTTCCTTCTCCCACCTAAACTTTTTTGTTGTCTGCTTTTCCGCCAATTTATGCAGCGGATTTGCTGAATTAGAGCAATCTTCAACCTGTTAAACGCCTAATTAGTTGTTGTTGGCCAGGTCCTCACTTGCCTTGTGCGATCTTCTGTAACTGCCATCCGTCTGTCGAGATTTTATGTTCCAGGAAGTTGAATGACCACCGGAGGAATCGACATTTCCTTGAGTTCAAGGTGAAACCTGCGTCTCGCAATTGGTCGGACACTAGTCTTTGATTGGTGTTATACCCTCGAATATTTTTACCAGAGACGTTTATCTGAAGTTACATCAGGTGTTGGAAGGTGACCACTGAGTTGCAGAATCTTAAAGTCATTGTCTGGAATTAATAAAGCCCTTTTGACAAGATAAAATCTATCTTCTCTCCGGTTCTGCCACTTCTACTTGCCTGTATCATGTTTTTGAGTCCAGTGTGGAGAGCATTTAGCAAATCGTCGGTGTGGGCTAGTGGAAAGGCGTCTGTGTTACTCATGGGTATAGCTGCATCCTCGAAAGGGGCGTGGAAAATGCCATAGACATCACACACTGGTAGCGAGAGGGCTGTATCGGCTTTAGTCTTCATGGGGCAAGAAGGTACCTCCAGCAAAACAAGATGGCTTTGTTGTTTCTAAGAAAAACAGCCTTAAGGAAAAATTGCTTGAATCTTCTTCCAGTATTCCTAGAGCTTGCAAGAATAAGTGGGAGCCATTTATAGGAAGAGAATAGGGAAAATGAACACACCTCACTTTACATTATATTGTAAACGATGCATCGCCGTTACTACAATAACCCTGCTGGTTATCAGGAATCATCCTTGATAGAAAGTTCATTGCTCATCCCCAAGACCGCAAAATCTATGAGCCCCCTCAAATACAAATCACATTCTGGTGTTCAAATGACCCCAATTTAGCAGCAAAGTGATTGCAATTCGAACAAAAGGCAACACCAACATTGAACATCCAACACTCGGGCGCGAGATTTACTCTCGACTACAAAAACTAATTTTAAATTGCCTCGAGTCTACAATACAACCAACATTCGCTACAACTTCTATGCAACATCTAGGTGGAAGGTGAAGGGAATAACACAAATTTTTATTGTACAATCGATACTAGCATAGAAGGTGAAGTAAACTACACAATGGGAGAGCGTGCGGTGTCCATAGGAGCAGGCACAATGGAAAGAGGACACATAGATACCTGAACTAGCAGTACTGGCACCAGCACATTGCATTACTGCATACTACCAGGGTGAGAAAGCGGATCTACAAAGGAAGACATAGGCGATGTGAAAAGCGATTCAGTTCCGTGTCATCTTATGCATAAGGGTTATGTCTCTTCCAAGGCCGATGCATTGGAGGCACACATCCAACTGGCAGAATCAATGAGTCCCAAGACTTACCCGCACCACGACCCATGTGTCCTGCCGAGTCGGAATGAGGAGGTGGCGGTGGATGTGGGGGATGATGACCAGGATAGGGCGATTGGGGAGGTACACTGTAAGGACTATACTGTGGAGCCTGTGCAGGCATATACGACTGCCTCTGTTGAGGCGGTACCTGTTCATACAGGCTTGAGGGATGCACTGGGACAGACTGTTGATAGTCAACTCTGCCGGCAGTAGCAAGAGGAGGAGAAGCACACACAGTGGTGGGCATTGGCTGCCGCAACCTCGAATATGAAGGCGGCGTAAAACCGACATTGTAATGCGTTGGCTGACTCTCTGAGATCAAATACTGCGCAGGACAGTCAGGGTAACTACTAACACCATCACCGCCACCACCACTGACAACTTCGGCATCTCCTGAGTAACAGCCACTAGTGGAAGCCGAATCTGAGGCCACATTGGTCGAGGCATCGTCCTGATGTGACTTTGACAGAGTTTGCGGAGGAACTGGTCCCGTTGGAGACTGGTGATGCGCCTGCGTCGCATAGAACTGCTGCAGTGGCTTTGGCTGTGGTGCCTGTTGATGTACCTCAGCTGGGGACGGAGAAGGGTGGTACTGATGCTCCGTCTCGAATTGGGCCTGACCTACATATCGCGACATCAAAACACACACTACAATGCACGCCAATTCACAGGGAAAAATCCTATGCACAACGGAGAATTATTTTAAGGAGAAATTATCAGATGCTGCCTACCCATGGAATGAGACATTAATTGCTCCTGATGTTGGTCCTGCATTCTAGGCGCGTATGCCATCGGCGGTGGCAGTGGCGGCGGAGCTGACATTTCTTCAGCTACCTCCATTGAAGGCTGTTGTTGTTGCTGCGGCTGCTGCTGTGGAATGAAACGCGGCCGATCTTTGCTAGCACCGACACCTACGACCCGACTGAAGATGACAGGTGGTTCGAAACCCGCCTCTTCCATGCCGGAGGATGGTGTTGCAATCGAAGCGGAGGAGGACTTGACCGGTGTTGATGGTTGTGACTGTGCTTGAGCCTGAAGTGGATGGCATGAAATTCGTTGCTACAATGATGGAATGGTATTTGATGACTGGTTTAATGAAAGATCAGCATGCCAGAGATAACACAAAGACTCACATGAGGAGACTCCATGATGGATGGAGTAGATGTGGCAAGTTGATAGGGTGGAGGAGGTGGATGGGGTGGAGCCTCCTGATGATGACTGGCAGGCGTCGACGAAGCAGGAAGAACAGGGGGTGAAGAGAGAGATAGTGGAATCGAGGTGTTGGAAGGCGAGACGACCACCGGAGGCGAGGTTGAGACTGCAGGCGATTGGACTACACTGCTAGTGGCGCTGCTGCCACGCGAAGTCATCTGTTGCAGCGCAAAGCCTGACTCAAAAGAGGGAGAGGCACGCGCAAACCCACTGGAGGAGTGATGTTGCTGAGGCGGTGGGGAGCCCGGGAAAAAGGCATTGCCTCCAGCGTTGCTACCACCACCGCTGCTCGCTGAAGTCGATAAAGGCGGTTGAGGTGTCGAATGAGACACACGAATTTGTTGTCGCGAATAAGAGTAGGAAGAACTCGCGTGTGAGTAGATTTTCTGCTGTTGTTGTTGTTGCTGGTGCAAATGCTGTAAATATGAAATAAGTGCAGTGGATGAAAACTTGTCCAAGTCCAAGTCATGTCGTGATGGAATAATTCACATTCTAATGCGAGAAAGCATGCGGTACTGTGAGGCTCTACGGTTGATCAAACATTTGGTTTTAAAAAAGAATCCCGGAATTAATTGCAAACCACCTGCTGCTGAGGTTGCTGAGGCTGAGCTGGTTGCGGCAGGGTGGAGACGGATTGTGCTTGCTGATGCTGTTGTTGGTAGGATGTAGTAGTAGGCGAACTGCTCACTATTGGTTGTTGTTGCTGTTGCTGAGCTGCAGCAGACAGCTTTCTTTGGTTCACCTTCTTTGCAAGGATTTCCCGTAGCTTCTGACGCTCCCTCTCACCCGGCGATGGACCCGCTGACTGTGAAATTGGCGGAGGTAGTGGCAGTGTTTGCGATTGTGAGACTGCGGGGGCTGGTGGATGCGGTGCAACATGAACTCCACCATATTGCTGCGGCATTGGTGTCGGCGGCTACAAAGGCGCAAAAATAAGCCCGAATGTGCTGCGCTAAACGAAGTAAGGTCCATAGCTAGTACGTGTCAGTCACAAATCTACATGCATGTGCTAATCTAGAAAGCGTTCAATGTTCGAGCTATACCTGCTGCATCATCGGCGTAGTTCCATAGGAAGGAGGTAGAGACCGCGGAGATGACATATAATGCTGTTGCTGGAAATGATGGTGATGCATCATCTCCTGCTGCTGTTGTTGTTGTTGTTGTTGTTGCTGTCTTTGCTGGTACAGGAGGTGCTGTTGATGTTGCTGTGTTGTAGGAGCAGGAGATAGGGGGGAGGGATGACCACCAGGTGACCAGCGTGGGTGCTGATGTGGCGAAGGTAGGGGCGACGTTACCCCCACGAAGCCCGATGGCGGCCATGTCGGTGGTGGTGGGGGTGGAGGAGGAGGAGGAGGAGGCGGAGGCGGAGGAGGAGGCGGAAGTGGCAAGTAAGCTCCCTGTTGTTGGACCAGTGTCGATGACGGTTGTGCCAACTATAAATGAACAGATGAGACAACTCCCAGTGATTCTGGGGAAATCTAAGTCATACATGTAGTCTAATTAGCGAAGAATAGAAGTAAATTATAGAATTGATTAAGTCAATACAATTTTGTATACGAATTTTAGTTTCTAACATCTTTAGGAGTTCGACTTTTTGATCCTAAACCAATTCTAGCCATTAATATCAAAGAAGCTGGAAGTACCATTGAGTGATCAGGAGTAGATGCTAGAGGTGTGTTCGCAGAAGTGAGGATTTGATGCTGATAAGGCGAAGACGACATCGCAGCAGGCGAGGAAGGCTCTGCAGTGTGAGAGGGTGGCGGTGGCAGAGAAGTAGGCCCACCTCTGCGCACACTCCCACCAAGCAATGAACTAGGAGATAGTGAAGGGGAAGGCTGCGAAGCAGACACAGAGGGAGGATCCCGAGCTTGCAGAGGTGGCTGGGGTAGAAAGAGTGTACTCGGCGGCCCCTGCACTTCCGTCACTTGGTCTTCTGATACAGCAACTGGTGTCGATGAAGATGGCCTTTGAATTGGCTGGTGTGAGGAAGGAACACTTCCAGAGGTCTCCATAGCAGCACGAACACTAACACCCACCTCTGAGGGTACCTAGAGAGGTTGCGATAGTTACAGGAAAAGGTGAAGTTCCACGCGAGCATTTAATATGCGGATATGAAAAATGAGAAATGGAAGGTTAAAGGGAACTTGAAAGTCGAGCTTACCATGGCCATAGACGTTTGATCGGATTCACTGGGGCGTTGGTCTCCAGGGTAAGTCGAAGTCTTTGGGAGTGGTGATTGACGTATGACTTGTGATGAGGGTGAGAGATGTGCTGGAGTTGGCGTAGAAGGAGGAAGCGTTTGTCCCTGCATTAACTGATGATGCGGAGAGGGACGCACCGGTTGTTGAAACGACTGCGAGTGACGCACAGACGTGGGTGATTGAGCGTAGTTTGAGAGAATTGGTGTGCCCCCACGGGCCTGCTCCAAACTACTACTTGAACTACGACCGCCGCTCGGAGTCGAACCAGGAGTACCCGGAGGAGGACAGCTGGGGGGAAAGGGGGGCGAGACATGGGAAATTGCACCACTTCCTGAGATGTGCAAAGGAATAGGTGCACCAATGGATGCTGCTGAACCACCACCAGTTTGCATCAACGGATGCTGGGTGTGGGTGTGAGATGGCTGAACGCCAGTCCCGACACCACTACTACTGCTGCTGCTGCCACCGCGAGGTGAAAGAGCATTCGAGCTAGCCCGAAACTGTGTCTTATTAGCACGTGCTTGATTCTACAAGAAATAACCGTTCTCATTAGGCGCAACACATTACCGCCTAAAAATTGTATATCATCAAAAAGATATGTGCTGAGTCTTACTACGAATTGTGAGCGGTTTTCTGAAGGCAAACGACGCCAGAGTTTTTGAATTTCACGAGCTCTGGCACGTGGATCAGGCCATTGGGTTTTCAGTTCTGGATGTACAATATTAGCGTAGAGAACTGGTGCAATAGTCGACCTGTCACCCAGCCGTTCTTCATCTTCCCACTTCTCGTAGTTGACGCGTCGATTGACCGGTCCAACAGCACCGCTGCCACCACTACCGGTCATACTGTCACCACCACCAACTGCGCCCTCCAGACAGCCTGCACCAGGGGCCACTTGTGTGAGTGGAATAGGAAGCATTGATGGGGCCATGCCTTCAGAGACTATTGGCTGTTCACCCCCGCCTCCTAACTGCATATCAACTGGTCGCCTGGGGCTCATGTCTACAGTGGAAATAAAACCTCTCAGTAAAGGCATTTATTCAATAATTTGTGAATTATCTGAGTCCATGAACAAAGCGCGACAGAGTATTCAAAGAATATGGAAATAAACCAAAAGACGCATTAGTACAGTGATAAGCTAATCGATAAAAACTAAATGCATACCCTGCCGCAGCATTGTTTTGAGTTGCTGATTTATAAGTATACCACCTTCAGAACCCATATGTGTAGGATCGTATGGGACGGGTAGCGGAGACTGTCGCGATTTTAGTGGCAGCGCTCCTGATCCACTTGATGGTGGCATAAGGCTCGGAGGCATTCCTCGATACACTGCTGCCGCCTGGAACCTCTGTTGCTGTTGCTGCTGGCTCGCTGTCATATAGGTCGTTTGCGATTGGAATTGAGCATACCTTTGCGGTAGAGGTTGTCTCCATCCCACAGGTGGCCTCGATCCTGGATAAGGTGGAGGTGGGGGTGGTTGTGGTACACTAGGATCTACCATAGCCCCAGAGAAATTCTGTTGCTGTTGAAGGTAAAACTGGGCGCGTTGTTGTTGCTGTTGTTGAGGCAGCATTCCTCGAGGAGGATACTGGGGGGTGCGAGGCGGGTAATTTGGAATCACAGACTGGCCCTCGCTCTGGAGAGGGAAGGGGGATGGTGCAGACACCTGAGTCTGCATTGGTTCCGCCTTGGAAAGTAGGCCAGGCTGGGGCGTCGGTGGTGGTGGGGGCGATGTGCCCTCGGAGGGGAGACCAACACTGCCGCCGCTTCCACCACCGCCGGTGGTTTCGAATTCAATCAGCTGCGATTCGATGTCTAGAGCACTCAATTCCGGCAGGAGTTGAGATTCTGGTTGAGACTGCTGAACTTGTGCAAGAGAGGTCGAATTAACAGACTGTTGTTGTGATGCCTGCTGCATATCCTGCGATCTTGGTGAGGGGATAGCCTGGCTTTCATCAGAAAATATTGGCCGACTTTGCAATTGCTGTTGTTGATAACTTACATCCGAAATTGACTGGTGAGAGGTAAAATCAAACTAGAATCAGTCAGCTAATGAAAGTGTTCCAAACAGTGAATATTGCTGGAAAAAAACATACCCTAGGCGGCGAGTCAGCGGTGGATTTTTGATCGGATGCGGAAACGAATTGTTGAGAGGGCCGTTGTGGTTGATCAGTAAAAGCGTTCATTGACAGAGAGCCCTGCGGAACGGAAAGACGTTGTTTCAGTGAAGATGACTCGCTGTATGTAGGGCCAGCAGTAATTGATGCACTCGAGGACACGGAAGCAGGACGTGTAGCGTCAGAAGTGCTGGCAAAGTTACCAGCCAAGTTCAAGAAGTCATCAACGAGCATGTAATCATTCACATCATCGAAGCCTGCAAAGGTAAAGTTAGATCTTAAAAGCAATTAAAAATGCAAGATGATTTGAATTGCAAGAAGCGTGTTGAAATATACTAGTTTGCAATTGGGAGGCAGATTCAACTGGGCGCGTTTGTAGCTTCGGTTTTGGAGTGGGCGATTGCAGCGGTCGAGATTTGGCAGCGTCGCCTCCCACATTGGTGGAAGTTGAGGGTACATTGAAGACCTCGTCCACTTCTTCCCTACCCTCTTCCTCAAAGCTGTCCATTGTACCCTCGTCCTCGCCGTACTCCTCCTCATCAGCGAGGGCATCTTCCTCCAAAAGGTCATCAGCGTTGGCTGCCGCACTCGCAGTGAAGGGCGACTCGCCGGACCAGAGATTTGTTCGACCGCTTGAGCACGGAATGGGCGAGGCCAAACCACTCCGTGGGCTCGCTATCTTCGAAGATTGGGCAGAACGACTCCAGGCATCAGTCTGTATAGAAATGAAGTCCAAGTTACATTCCACAGGCTTTTGATAGGATGAGAACCAACTAACCAGCCTTGATAAATCAGCAGTGATCCTATCGAGTACAGCTTTGAAACCTAGTCACTTGACTGAGGTGGATTCCTTCAACAAAGTGAGCAAAACTACGAATTAACTTGCAAGTTGCACGTCTCAAAATTTGAAAATAAACTCAACTATATATATGTCGTTAGCAAAATCTCCCACAGAAACCAAGTGGAATTGGAGTTGGAGACCTTCTACCGGCCACCAAGTTATCCAGACACTGAATCAACCGCAAAAATATGAGAAAACATTTAATTGTCAAAAAAGTGAGAAAAGGTATGATACTATTAAACCACTTGCTCCTCAGGTTTTACCGTCCGACTGCCAAAAATGCTGCGCAGGAAATCAACGCGAAATAATGAAAAAACTAACCATTCTCCTTAAGTTCGACGATTCTCCCAGTTGATATTGTTCACCAGAGGATATAGCTCCATTTCGACTTCCAGTCCCCACTTGGCAAGAGGTAGAGGGCTTGCGACGTCGTTTCTTCCCGATAACGGCAGCCATCGCGCCAGCTGCAGTGGCGTCACTGGAGGCCGAGGAGAGCAACTTATCACCGTAGAAAGCTTGCATCAGGTATTCAGGGTAGCTTTCCTCCAAATCAGACTTCTTCCTGTTGGGACGCCGCTTCTTGCCGATGAGCGGAGGTGCGCCTGGCACCTTTGGAGCACCCTGCACACCTGTTGATGCCAGCTGCGATTTCTTTGTCTGAAAGGCACCAAGTATTGCCAATTCCCAGACAAGTTTTTGCTGAGGTTGAAACAAACACAAATAAAGGTCAGCGTGTACAAATGGTGCGCGAGATACAGAAAGGTAAAGATACTGGGGAATAAGAAACCAGAGAATGACTGCTGTCATCGACATTTAATCAAGGGCAACTTAGTAAAACACATAACCATAGCACAGCTTTATTTATTTCCGAAGGATTTTTAGTGCAAAAAACTACATCCGTTAATTTGTTTTAAAATAATTTATACGTCGATAGGGTACAAGTGCCAGAATGTTTCTATTTCTTCAAAATGTGCATACAAACTTATCACCAAATGTCAAGGACATAAAACTCAATTTTTGCACTTATTAAGATATAATACTCCACTTTCCATTGTTTGCCAATGAGCTAGTTATTCATACGTCACATGCGGTTAGTTCAATCAGTTACATTTTCAACCACAGATTAAAAAAGAGACATTATTTATTTCCGGGAGATATAAACTTTCAAATGAACAAATCCTGCCTGATAAACACGTGAGGGCCTTGCGCGGAAGCCACCTACGCCAAGATTGAGGTGACGTCGCGATACCCCAGCGTTTGCCTTGGTTTTTTTGCTAGCTGAAGGTGCCTACAAGCAAAAAAAGAGCAACGAGAAGCCAAAGAAAGGGAAGAGAATGGGTAGATAACGTTACGAATTGACTGCAGCAGTACTCACGTTCATGATTGTAGCAGCAGCAACAGTGGCGACATTTGAGACCACAGAAGAGGAAGAATCGGTGGGGAGGAGAGAGGGAGCGGCACCGCCTGTTGCAGTGGAGCTCGAATCGCCAGTTGCACCACCGCCATGAACCGTGTCCTCCTCCGAGATCACACTTCGTGGTGACTTGGCTATCTCCCTGTAGATGGCTGATGTGAACTCCGAGTCGGCGTCTGCACCTGAGTGTTGGCTGATTTCTTCATCCATCTGCGCATAAGACAAATGGTAAAAAAAGTCAAACCAAATCAATAAATCTATTAATGACACCTTCCCAATCAAAAAAGCAATGCGGTATTAAATAGACAAGTGAGTGGACTGAAATGCCTAAGTAAACCTTAAGAACAAGAGGGTTTGTAGTATCAGACTCAAACTGCAGAACGAGTTACCATTTCAACTAAAATGCTTCAATACTAGTAAACGCCGTAAGTTTTACACCTACTGGAGTGTACACAGACGGCGGAGCAGTGTCCACAGCGGAATGGGCGTCTGGAGTAGCAGTTGCAGAAGCTTGAGGGTTTTTCTGGCGCGGAACAGCAGGTGGTCGCTTCGGCTGCCCTTTCACCATTGCTCTGCGGATCGTATTCAGACCAGTTCGACTAAGCACGACACCATCCATGAAAAATAACCTACAATGTGTGAAAAAAAAACAAGTCCGGCAAGGCTAGGAATTTACAGTCACCACACATTTTTCATGATGAATGTAAGAATTGGAGGCCAAAAAATAAGATATGAAGCTTTAATAATGGTGATAAATACAATGATGATGTCAAAAACGCACTTCGGATCAGGCGAATCCTGTTCGTCATCAGACCGTGTAGTCGAGGAGCCAGCTGATCCAAGTCCGGGTGGCTAAAGTAAGTAACACTGAGCTAGGTCGAAAATCCCTACCACTCAAAGTCATTACAGGATATCTCTCTCACCAGCCTCTCCCCAAAGTAAGGATCACCACCTTCAGATCGCCAGGTAGACAGAAAGGGGATAGAGGTATCATGTGTAGTACGAAAGTTCAACAACTATAAAGCACAGAAAAAAAGTATCCAATATACGATTAATTAGCGGTGAATGAAGATCCATGGCAGGTTCATACACAGACAACCACCACACGTGATATTAAAAGGGAAGACAAGGATGACTCACCTGTTGGTGACCCAACCCATAGGGAGATCCGTGCTCCCGACAGAGGGCACATGTGTACCCACCATCGACGACGAAATCAACTTCCTCTTCAGTGCGTATTTGATCACATCCAGCATGAGACCAACGTTCACATTCAGCACATTTAATCAGAAGATCACCATCATGGTAAGGCAGAGTGCAGGCAGGACAAGTGGTGGTAGAGGTACAGGGAGCGCACTGCGTATAGTTCGAGGACCATTCACAGTTGGTACCGGGCGATCGTCTACCGCATTGCAGACAGGAAACGCAGTTGGTACACTTCCAGTTACCCTGTAATGCAGTCAAAGAAATTATCTTGGAAAAGAGGTCACGGAAATACCGGTGCACTAACATGCGCACACATAGTGGAAACAATCAAACCACGCACATAGAGAAAAAAATTGACGGAATACCGGTCCTAACAATAGGTTCAGGCTTGTTACCTTTTACAAAACGTGGCTAATCAGAATTCAGTAACAACGAGCCATTTCGAAGTACCAAACATCTGATATCATTATGGAAGTTAAACGCGTTCGACTATTTCCGTCACAACCGAAGACTAATTGAAAATCTTGCAGCGCCCAAAAAAACGAGCCAGCCAAACTAAGCTCTGAGCAAAGGATAAACACAAAATGTGGGAGACATATAAGCATCTGGAGCGGACGAGAAGTAGCAAGCGACGCGGATGGAGGTGCACCATAAAGAGACGCCTACTGAGCCTATGCGACAACCAGAACTCTACCTCCAAACTTCTAAACCGTCGTCTACGGCAATGAGGAACCAAGGGGAGAAACTGTGCGTGGAGAGCAGCCAGTTTCGCACGGGCAGCTGGGGAATTGTCACCAGAAGCATCAGCACTGGAACTGCGCGTGACTGTGCCTACCTTGGGCACCTCCTTGAGGGGTGGATTGAGGCAGAAGGTGTGATAACTGATGTCGCAGTCATCACAGAGCAGAAGGAGGTTCTCATCCGTGGCTCGACCGCATCCCTCACAGATAGTGCACTCCAGGCAACGCCAGCCCTTCTCAAGCACGGTTCGAGAGACGCGACTCAAATCCCCACAAAAAATGTGGAAACATTGGCCGCACTGAGCACAGGGTATGATCGGATCAGGGCCAGTTCCAAAAGAACCACAGGTTGTACACATATCCTGCTCCAGCATAAAACGGTCGTCTTTGAGGCTAATCACCACCGTACTCGGATGGTCGTCCTTCTCGGAGCTGGACTTTGACTCGCACTACAAAGATAGGAAAGAAAACAAGTCATTCGCATTGAAACCACACAAACTCACATAAAATCGGTAAACTATGTAACAAAACTCGTGAGAAAAAAGTGAGAACATGGCATCAAAAAAACTAGATAATACGAAGTTCTAGGAAGGCATTTGATTACCTCCTGAGGCATAATCCAAAAGGTAGATCAGGCTAAAAAGTTCCAGGCTATCAAATGAAACGAGCTCTCCAGAGAAGAAAATAAGCCTTAAGCAGTACACTTTCAGTAGGTTGAATTCCCTCAGACCACGCACGTTACTGGCAATGATAGCACCATCAACCTAATGCGCTGACCGTGACAAAATTTTGTCAGAATGAGAGGTGCTCTCTCGCTCTCTCTCCGGGTTGATTACACGTTCGTTCACGCATGTTATCTTGCGTTAGCCATCGAGACCAATCAAACAGCGACTATTGATCAAGGTCACACGTCTGCACGCGAAGTTGAGACGAGGTTAGATGGTGCGGAGCACACCTAGGGGCGCGGCTCCTCCCTCAGTCAGCAAATGGAAACTACGCGTATAATAGAGTAAGTAGTGATCAATTGGATTTTGCTAGCATTCTATTGGTATTCTTTTTTGAACCAAGAAACAAAACAAACAAACAAGCAAACACATTACGCAATTTAATTGACAAAGGGGAGCCGAAAAAGGGAGGGGTCTGGCTTATGCTATCCATCTGTATATTTAAATGAGCCGCGGAGTATAGCTAAGAAGCTGCAAATCTAATCTTTTTAATTAAAAAGAAGATATTGGAGATTCTGAGGGGAGAAACAACAGTAAACAAATGTAACAAAAACTATTGTGGTGGAGTGAGAGTGAAGTAATTTACTTTGACTGTCCAGCAGTTCCGATTGTCAATGTAGCGAACAAATCGTACCTAAGGGGAGGGGGTGAGTGAAACAAAGTAAAATGTAAAACACACGACTTGCTAGCTAGGCGTCAACTAAGACAATCAACCGAACAAAAACAAGAAAACACGGATACATTTTCAGAATCCGGCGAGCAGTGAGAGAGGAGATGCTGCTGTTTCCTGTCTATCTTGCTTGGACGTCCACGTTTTTTGAAGCGTAGTGTCAGAGTCAACGGGGGATCGCGACTAAAATGATGTGCTGAATGTTTGGACTCCGTTTGGATTAAGTGTATCGGTGGGATAAACGCGCCAGGTGAAGGCGATTGTGGATGCACTTTCTCATGACTCGGAGGGAGCATACGCGACTGTGGGATAATTTTAATCACATCCTGAAAGAGTCCGCAGTAAAGAGAAGACGTCCTGGTTTGAAAATACAGATTGAAAAGCCATGGGTTAGTTGGCAGGAGACTTACAGCAACGGCCTTGCGATTCTTTGAGCGTCGAGAGCGTGTCCCACCACCACTGGCCAAATTGGCCATGGCATTGCTCAAGGAACGCTTGGCATTCACTGTCTTCGCAATCTGAGGCTTTGATGAAGTGAAGTAAGGGTTCAGCGTCGTTGGAACATTGCTGGAGAGCTGCAGACATGAAAAATTACTTGAACAAGTCTTTAGCGACACTTGACAAAATACACCAGCCGACCAGACAATTGACCTTACAGGAGTGAAAATCCTAACAGCAACCGATTACAAAAATGAATATGAATTTTGTTACTTCTAAGTGGTTTTAGTAGTCAGATCCGCGTATATGGAATGGAGGTTTCCAGCTCAAATGTAAGCGCGTCCAAATAACTAAAACGAACAATTTTACCATACTGCGTAAAAAGACATTAGGGAATTCAAAATTAGTCTTTTTTGAACTTCAAACCAAATACGCGAGGTAGTTTTAATTTTTAATTGCTGTGAAGATAATATCAATGCTATTTCAAGTAAGCTCTTTTTGAGCCATCTTAAATAGGCTTTTGAAAATGAGTTCCGTCGTGGAACCCATGGCGCGTGAGCAGTCCCAAAACGAATTGCAGAAAGAGAACCGTTAGAAATGCCAAAGGGGTACCTGAAAATCCATTTAACAGCCGTCGCATACATTAGAACTTATACCTCTGAAGCTCTTACCGTAACACTCGAGGCTTTTTGCGACCAGATCAAGCTCCCTTTAAGATTACAAAATTCCCGTCGATAGTTCAAGCGGCCTGCCTACTCAATCGCACAAAGCAACCCATTGACTAGAGAAGAAACACAACAAACGTACCTTCGAGAGAGGTTTGCACGAATCGTTATGGTCCAGTTTGATACTTTTCCTTGCCATTTCGCTCATGCTCGCCGAGACCGATTTGGACTTGGTTAGACTGCCTGGAGGCCGTCCCACTGCCCTGTGGGTGCGCATGGTCCCACTTCCCCCTGCTCCAACGCCGCGGGGAGATTTAAGCAGACTGACCGTAGGTGACACAAGGGAATCCGTGGTGAGAGAGCTCGTCTGCTTGCCTGGATCTGTCGTTGGGGTAGTGGAGGTGGAATCAGCATTGCCGCCGATGAATGATGGCCCTCTATTCGGCACGGTGACCGAGGAGGGGGGGACCTGGGGATGAAGATCGTCTGCAAGGGAGGGACTGGCGCTAGCGACAATTGAGTTAGCGTCACCCATGTCGCTACTGCCAGCACCACCAGCAAAGGGACTTGTACGAAGACTGGCAGTGGCCGAAAGGACCTACAATTAGAGGCAATCATGCACTGCAAGTTCAAAATTTGGCTTGACTTGTTGAATTGAGAAGTTCAAGCAATTCTACTAACAAACGTACATAAATGTTTTTTTTTCCTTTGTAGAAAAGCTATGCAATAAGGAAACATCAAGTAAATACTATAACTTCATTAATGACTACATAGAACCTTGTCTTTATAGTGAATATGTTGTGGTAAAATTTAGCGGCTTTGAACAATTGCCTCCACAAGGTCTGGTTTCTCAACGTACCTTTTCAACATAACACAAGGCAACTCATTTGCCTATTTATTTAAACAAGCAACCTCTTACAGGTAACAGTAAGTTAATGAAGCGTACAAGTTGCATAAAACGTCGAACAAGTGAGCGAGCGCAGAAAAACGGAGGCAGCAAATTCTCAAAAATACGCGAAAAAGTATATTTGTTTACCAGTGAAAAGTGATTAAAGACGAATGTGAGCATAGATGCAGAATACCTCACTGGGTGTAGCTGAATCCCGATTCCTACAGGAGGGACAGAAGTAGCTCCCGCCGCCGCAGCCGGTGGTGGTCTGAGAGCCTGCAGTATCATCGCTTCCCATAGCGCCACAACCGACAACGCCACCTCCTCCCGCGCCACCAGCGGGAGCAGTGCCGAGGGAGGGAGAGGATGAAGAGTGGGGGGAGGAGAGGGAGGACTGACCCACTGGATCACAATCGTAATGGACCATTCGTCGGCATCCGTTGCACCGACGACTCGGCCACACCAGCGGAGGATTTGGCGTTGCGGCCCCGCCCGAGCCTCCGTTCGACTTCGAAAAAGACTATAGCTCAAACCCTATGTAAATTTTGGTCCCACATACCAATCGTAGATGTATAAGGAACTGCTAAGAGTCCTCTTACAGAAGAAAGGCACGAAATCAGGCTAATGAACAGCATTAATATGAAAATATGGAAGAATGTGCGGAACCACTAATGAGACGTGTGGCTCGAACATGCTTTTGGGCGGCGTTGTTTGTATTAGTGGAGTAATATTTCAGAGGACTGGCGAGCATATACGTAAATATAAAAGTTATAAAGTAAAACCTACAGTGACACAGCATCGCCATGCACGTTCACAAACGGCACAGCAAGCGTTTTGACGTTTTCGGGTATGGAAGCATCGATCACATAGGGTATAGTTTGCATGCCATCGTATGGTAGGCTAGAGGCATTACAATAAGTAAGAATCAGAATTTAAGACAAAATATGAAGCAACAACCCGAACCTGTTCAAGGCTTTCCGTTTCTAGAGGAGCACCAAAACCCTTTGAAAAGAAGCGACGGAGACCACAATCCATACAAATGCGGCAACGTTCGCATTTAAAGCCGTTTTTGGGTATATTCGCAACAGGAGGCTTCAAACAGTATGTGTGAAAGCCTTTGTCGCAGACATCACAAATAACCATTTTTGTTTCGTCCTTGCTTTCACTGAACAAAAAGGCAATTTCAAACCAACAAAATGAACGAACCTGCAAATAAGACAAGTCTTGCATTCAGGACACTGCCATCCAACACGAACAGTTGTACTCAGCATCAGTGGTGGCTCAAGACAAGGATTGTGGAAGTGATTGCCGCAACTGGTACAAAAGATCATTTCCGTTACGTCATTCAGTCGACCACATACCAAACATGGAGTAACATTTTCCCCTAGACATGGTACAAGGTCCAAGTGAGAGGGACAAAATATTGTCAGAGTTTTAATCTCCTCAAAACAACCAGCGCCCACAGCACAAGGAAAGTGGAAACTTCGAGGACAACCTTCAGCCCGGCAGGAAATGCTGGCACCGAAGCGTCTACACAGTGCGCACTCCACTTTCATGGCCTTTACAGCGGCTTCCTCAACACCCTCAAAAGCCATCTATGGTAAAGAGGTAATTGGACCAAGAAGCACATACTTGGTCGTTCATTATAACTCCGTCCGACCACGAAGCACAGCAATGATGGGCGTATAGCCAACTTCCCTCCCCTCCTTCCCGTGGAGCACAGGCAATAAGCAAATTCTCCAGGACAAGCTTCTCACCAGATCCACCCGAAGATGGCCATCCAATTTCACGAAGCTCATCGATGTAACCGAAAGGTCTGCCTTCAGAGTCGGAGAAGGCATTTGGAAGGCCACTCAAAATGGGCTTACCGTCAGGTCTAGAGTATATAGAAGCCCATTTAAGATAACTTACTCTAAAATTTTACCCTCTTGCAGACGTCTACATGCATCTAATGCACAGTGATTACCAACCAAGTGGTCAGAAGGTGTAAGAGGTAGGTTTAGTGTGCAGAGAATAGATTGTTCAGAGGCTGCCTGATTCAGTTTCCATGACAGAGCTCGCCTGAGAGCTGGTGGGTGAGACTTCAGCTCCGTGTACCATTCCGGTAGACGCGAGGGGGAGCGTGATGTACGAAATCGGACAAGTTTGCCTTGGCCAAACTTGGCAGATGAGTCCATTCCACAAAACACGCATCGTGGCGACCCCAAGACGGAAGATGAAGCGTGTTTTCCATCGCAGTGTGGAGCCGGTGTGAAGTCCCTATCATCCATAGCTTAACACCGAACAAATTAAATGTCACGGTAATTCTGAACAAATAAACTTGCACTTGTGCTATTATTTCTCAGAACAGAACCACCAGAGCATAAAAATTAAGGCATTAAAATTAATACAAAAGGATGAACGAAGATAATAAGTCGAAGACAATGATGACTGTTATAGTCTCAAAACGTCCCAGAGAAAATAAAAGAATATAAGGAAACCATTGCAGGGGGACAAAACACCCTAAGACACCAAGCCACACTAATGCCTACTGAAAATGTCAGTCTTGGTGCTCAATGATGGATTAATCAAGTGAAAAATCAGGTAAAATTGATAAGCGGTTTGTGGATGAATACCCATTAATAAACCATCGCAAAAGTTAGGCAACATACGCCGCTAGCATTATCACCAAGAGCTAATCCAAACTTATTAGAAAGCTCTGTGTATGGCAAATGCATCACTAAAACACCCAAGATGCCGACATTACCTTATTACGCAACATCAAAAGGCGCGCCGCAATGGTCCGGGTGTTTTAAGGGACGCGCTTTTGAATTAAGGCTAGGAAGGATAAAAAACCACGAAACTACTAAGCATATGCATTCCTATACAAATCCTATTTTTAAACTTTATATCTGTAATCTGTATGCTTGCCTTATTTATTGTAAGGTTTTTCTTTTCTAATATTCATGGCATTATCGACGCAAATATAGGTTAAGCATATAAATCTGGCTCCATATTATATTTTTTGCACGAAATAAATACAGTAGGATGCAGTAATTGTTTTTAACACATTGAGGAGGCCATTGCGTGGACCTTTTTAGGTTCTATCAACGCGTAAGTTGATATTGCCCAAGTCTGCCCTGCTAACGGAATAAGCCACACACTACTACTGATACCGAACCCTTTTATATTTTACCTACTTTTATATGCTTCACCCAAAGCCCATCATATCAACCTCTTGTATCGGTTATCAAAACCTGGCACATAAAATATCTACCCGTGTAACAAACACCAGACGTTGGATTTCCTTGCATCTGAGAATGTATTTCATCCCAATGTTTAAGGTAGTGTAAACTATACTAGATGAGAAAGAGGTTTTAGCTTCGTTGTGTTCAGAACAATCCTCCACATTTAATGCAAATCGCCTGTTAATCGCCAGTCATGAGGACAGATTCAAGCCAATTTCGCAATGAGTTATGGCGTCCATTGTTCCTTTCCTTTTTATTCTCACTTCAGTGCTCTCCAGCCATTCATCTCTCTATCAACTTGGGAGGTGTCTCTAGTTGACTCAATTTCTCCGGGTGGTTGAAGTCTGCTTTCACTCGCTCTACTTGTAAATGGCTCTCCGAGAGAATATGGGATAGGGAGGATTGCCAAAGGTAGACGTTACTTTTATCTCTTCTATTAGTCCGCTGACTTATTCATCTCGACAGCTGGCCTTCTTCGGTCACGATAAGGCATCCAGGTGCAGAAACTAGGGTGTTTTTCCATTATGTCGGGTTAGCTTTCAGTTACAGTAGTCGCAGCTTTCTGCGTAATCTGTTACCAGCCGACATAATGATCAGATGGTTGTTAGCATGCTTCGAAGGTCATGCCGCATTGTCAAAGCACAATCTGCAGAAGCTGGTCTCCCCGCGAAATTAACACTACGGTTGCACAAAACGCTTTTTCTCTGTACAACTGACTGTATAGAATGCAACTAATGATGGATCATAAGGTCATTTCGGGTTAATTTGCATCTTCACATCCACACAATAAATGCACATTTGAAAAAATAATGGGTAGGGGAACAAAATTCGCACTAATGAAAATCACATATTTCTAGATCAGCGCGTTATACTCAAGCATATATTAACATGGGTGTTTCTCCAAATCAAAAAATCCAGACGCTGCTTATGAGTAGAAATTCGTATGATATGTATACCAGCACAACTACAGAGACCCAAGTCTTCTCTAAAATCGCGAGAAGTTTTCTGTATGGTTAAAAAATACATTAATGCGATGCAAAAATATTGAGGTTCTTTGGCATGGCTCGAAGGACATCTCGCCTAGTGGAGATACAATTTGGGAAGACCTAAGTGCCTGTCAAGTAGAACGCAAAATTAACGAACCCAGCAAAACATTGTGCAACCATGTTCGCTTTAAGAAATAAAATAATGATTGTTTTAGCTCCGAGTTCAAATACACGAATTCTTTAATTTCGCTTTGTAGAATTGCCTTCGAACCATTATGGTAGTGTAATGTATGGCTGCTTGTTTGCCCCTTTTGGGTAAGAAGTGGTCAGTTTGTACACCTCTCACGACTGAGTGGTCACTAATTGTCCCTGAGAAAAAAACCAGCTCAGATCTCTTGTAACCTCTCCCCTGTACACTCCCAGAGCACTTATCCAATAAAATGCCGCCCTCGAACAAGCCTACTCGTTGCAATGATGTGGAAGCAAGGGCGGGAGAGAAGTGCTGAACCTGGCACAACAGCTTTAACATTGGGGTTAACAGTAGCTCTAGTGTAATACGATAGTGGTTTATCCCTCGGTT